TCAAGCATACCCGATTGTTGCCATTCGATATTAATTACAAGTAGAATCTCAAATTAGAATTATTTCTCATTTAGCTTGAATTAGAACTCTTCTAATTGTTCTTTTATGAAGATCAATCAATATAATTATATTAATTTCATTCTCTAGACTTCTACTAATCATGAGTGACACCTAGTAACATATCATGATTAACCTCTAAATAGCACGAAGTAGGTAAAGAACTCATTCAGTATACAATTATAATTCAATCCTTTTATCACACAATACCCCAAGTGAATTATTAGGGTATGAAATTACTGTCAAACCCCTAACTCAATCTTATGTGTTTGATTTTAGAACTATGACTCCTAATGATCAATTAGAAACTCTTTTCTAATTTTCATTATGCCTTGGCCAAAGACTCCTCGAGTATTATCCTAGAAGATCACATATGACATTCTCTCTTTAATTACTAAGGGTGATAGATTCTATGTTGTACGCTCATAAACCTCTATGCATGTCTAATTATGTCCAACAATAAATATCCAAGTTACATGGTTAATATATAAATAGTTGTATAGTTAAAGCATATAAGTTCATGCATAAGACAACCAAGGTATCTTAAGTATAAGGATCAGTTTCATAACTATAACTTTAGAATTTAACATTAACAGGTATGTAAAATTTCATATGAAAAATCCTATATTAGTCAATGGTCAGTATACTTGTTCTCTAACAAACACATATACACTTGCTTCAGTGTCCTTACACTAGTGACTTGGATGAGTCACCTTATATCAAATATGAGTAAACATAGTGTATACTAGTTTATCCGGATTACATAGTGTTCACATAGTAATCTTATAATTAGGAATATTTAACAATTAAGTACTAAGAATTATATGTCGCATTTTCTCAACATTTTGAGTAACTATTTTCTTAACTTATACTCCATGGACTATATCATATATATTAAAATAAAATAATGTCGAAACATGATAAATAAATTTACCCTTTTATTTAATTGAGCAATAAATGTTACTACCACATCCCCAAAATATCATTTGTATGATTAATTTTAGAGCATACTACTAACAAGTGACATTGGCAATGATAATGAATTTAAAGTTACGATTTCGCAACCTACAAACTTAGTTTGGTAGATGAACCGTCTAAAATTTTATAACCACGTATGATTCCCTCTATCCAACTGAAATAGAAGTAGAAGTCTATATTCCAATCATCAAATAATTCACGTTGGAAAGATTCAGAGAACATGTAAACCAATGGGATTAAAAACACCTTAATGAAACTCACATGCACAAAATAAGGAATTGTGAAAAGAAGAAAATCAAAAGTATATTTATAAAGTCTCAGGGACGCTTAATAAAGTCATCTCTTATTGTTAATAAATTCTTACAGTCCACCAACACTATTACAGTCCTGAAAGCTAGCTTCTCTTCTCTTCTCCCTCCGGCGAAACCCCTACCCTCTGAACAAAATAAATATCTAGGGTTCTCCCTCCTATAATTGTCAAGGGTTCTCCCTCCCACCCTCCCCCCCCTCTCTCTCTCTCTCTCTCTCTCTCTCTCATATATATAGTAGTCATAATCCGTGTCTGAAGTCACAATGAAATATAAATTTCAAGTGCCACAAAAATCGATCCAACTATATTAATTTTTTTTAAAAATGTGTATATTATCGTATATGAATAATGTTTGAAATAAAAATTATGTTAAATTACAAATTAATCAAATATTAAATGATTGAACTTGTGATCGAAATAAGTGATGTGATGATTTTAAGAGGAAAAATATATAGGAAATAAAAATTCAAATTACTGTGTTTTATTATATAGATATATATACATTGGTCCACCCCCACGATACAACTGTGGTTGCATCCAACCTACTTCGTCACACCCATTCCTTATTTCTTGATCAACATTAAAAAGCTCACGAGAGTACAAACTCACTAAGATCCACATTAAAAACCTTCTTGATATCCTAACCCTAACTTTTTTTTGCCCAACCTTTGAACCACTGTTTTCTTGAATCTAGAGAAGAAATAGAGAAATTGGGACCAAAACTTGAAGGAAGAAAGGGTTTGATGATCTGATTTTTTTATTACGCTTGGGATCATCAAAACGGAGTTCCAAGAAAGTTTTGGGTTTTACCTTCAATATCTTTACTCTGGTTGTGGAGCACCAAGAAAATGCCATCACAAATCATAACCTCAACCACTTGTGACCTAAGTAACTAATCGTCGTCATCACCACCACCGCCACCACCACTTATGACCTAGCTTTTCCAGTGCCATTACAGTCCACTGCCTTGATTGTGGGCCATGAACTCTTGCTCGTTCACGGCTTTGATGATACTCAAGGACATAATAGGAAATAAAAAAATAAAAATTAATTATTGGACCTGTGTCTTTAATAACTCAAAAAAATTACTCTTGGATCTATTGATTATAGAGATTCCTATATTATGCTTTGTTCTAATTTTTTACTTTTAATAACTTATTTAATTAATAGAGCCTCTATTTTATTTATTTATTATTTTTAATTTCTACAAGTGCTATTCACACTTTTTTATTCCTGCATTCAGCCAAAATTTGTCTCCATGACATTCAGAAAAGCAATTACCCTTGCTCAATTTCTTTTCCACTACACGAGAAAGAATGATATATATTTTTTAAAGTAGAGTCATATTAGACTTAATCTTGTTAAATAAATACCAAATACTAATAATCACCTGTCTACTATAAATAAAGATTGAATAAGTTCACAAATAATTAACAAAAATAAAGTTTAATTCGTTTGAATTTACAATTTGTGTTTAACTCCACATAATTCTCACGTGCATTTTGTGAATAGACAGATTAATGTAGAGAGGAGTTGAGTACAGTGTTGAATTTTTTTTTCAGTACCATACCTTTTTTTATCACATTTATAACTATTTTTTATTACACTTGTTAGTGCTTTTACTATTGTTGTGGTATCCAAAAAAATACTAAAAATAATTATCACAACAGTAATAAAAACATCAACAAATATGATAAAAATACTCACAAATGTTATAAATTACCCACAAAAGTATTAATTTTTTTTGTACTGAAAAAAATTGATAAAATAATTACCACAAATATGTTAAAAAAACCTACAACAGTGGTAAAAATACAAATGAAAGTGATAAATTTTTTTATTGTAAAATGACTAACAAAAATTATAAAAACACCATTAGTAAAATTTGAAGGGCAAATTATAAATTAGCCCCTTGTGGTTTGACTCGATTGTAGATTACCTATCTATTGTTTTAAAACCTACAGATAACACCTATCATTTTGGCCTAATTGAAAACCCATAGCTCCGTTAATATGAAGGGAAATTGACCTTATAACCCTCATTTTATTAGGAGTGCAACTCGGGGGAGGGTGGGGTTGAAAGGTCAACCCTATCTCAAACTTAGGTATATAATCTTTAACACTATCATTAACTCTAACTTAATTCGAGGTACTCAACCAAAATACTGTCCAAGTTTAATTCAGGCTAATTTTGAGTTAAAAATCAGGTTGGTCTTGAGTTACTTAATTCAGGTTGATTTTTTGAAGTGTAAATTTGATTTTTTTTAATTGTAGATCTAATTTTTTCAAGTGAACTGAAATGAAGGGCGAGACACAGATGAAGAGAGAAAGAGTGAGAGAGGGAGACTGAGAGTCTGAGACGACTCAGACGAGTGACGATTAAGAGAGGGAAGAGGGAAGAGGGAAGAGTGACGAGTAAGAGAGAGATCAGAGAGTGATGAAAGCGCAGGGGTAAAGATTTGAAGTAAAGTGAAAGTTTGGACTCGAAAGAGTGAAGATAAATATTAACCCTACTTAAATATATTTATTTATATTCAAGTTCAACCCGATTTTAATATTTGGGTTGAACTCGACAACCCGATGCCTCAACTCGAGGCTTGCCCAAATTTAATTCGAGTTGAATTCTTTTTGCCTAGATCCAATCCAAGTATTAAAATTTCTAACTCAAACTCTATTTTTTTTTAATTGAGTATGGATTAAGGTCGGTTGGCCCGCCCAAGTTGCACCCCAATCATTAATGGGAAAATTGGAAGGAGGTACACTAAATTAGATTTAATAGTAAAAAAGTACACAAAAAAATATTGCGTAATTAAGTCATTAATATTGATATTTATTTGTATCTAAGTATATTATTTGAATTTTATTGATTTTTTTGGAACATTTTTGCCCTCCATTAATCCATGTGTTTTTTCTTTAGAAAGTGGTACATTAAAATTTTTCTAGTTTTATGGGAGAACTTTAATACATATATACATATATATATATATATATATATATATTTATATATATATTTATATATTAAAATATGAGTGTGTTTGAATTTTATCCTATACATTTTTTTCCCTCCCAAAACTATCTTATCACAACCATCACATCCCTTTTAACATTATCCAGCCCCCTTACACAACTGCTTGACACACACAAACGGAAGGAGCACCACGCTTGTCAGCGACATGCCTCCCTTTCCTTCTTTTCTTCTGCCTTCCTTATCACGCCCTCTCTTCCTCTCTCTCTCAACACAAAATACTCTATGTTACACCACCACCAACGGCACCGCCATGCCATCGACGCTCCAGCAGCTAGCCATCAACACCATAGGACACCTTCAGCGACGCACTAGGTGTCTCCCCCTCTCTATCTCTCTCACTCTCTCTCCCTCTTTGTCTCTCCAGGAAAAGACAGCGCACACACGCACATTGACTCGGCACTCACCCTCATGAACCCCGATCAAATTACCCTCATCAAATGACCCTCAAGATTCGAAAGAAACACCAATTCCAAGTCTCAATTCCTAGAAACAACAAATCATAGATTCTGAAGCTAAGGTTGGTAGTATTTTGGATTTTAATACCCATAACAAGAAAACCCTAGATTTGAATACACAGAAAGAGGAAAGTTTGGATTTGGATTCACAAATTGGGAAAAATCAAAAGTACATGGATGTAGATGATGATGGGTCTGTTGTGGAGGTTGGGAAGTCTTTGTCTGTACCTGGGTTTCTCAGGAAAGTGTTCACGCAGGAATTGGGTGATGATGGTGGTCGTGATCACAAACTATTGGTGATAGTTGTTCATGTTGTCCTCTTAGAGTCTAGCTTCTTTGGGTTTGATCCTGTTTCCAATATCGAGGTTCATGGGCTTCAGTTTCCCAATGAACGGCCTTCCTAGGCATTTAGGATGTCGTTGAGGTACACTCTTCCTAAAATGACAGTGTTAATGGAATTGATACTGTTGTATTGAAGTTTCAAAGTTTAGGGAAGTTCTTTAATATTTATGAGTCTTTAGCTAATGGGTTTGGAATGCATTGGGTGCATTTGGATGAACACAGTTTGGTTCCTTTCTTGAGCACCACGCCTGTCAGCGGCACACCTCCCTTTTCCTTCTTTTCCTCTGCCTTCCTTATCACGCCCTCCCTTCCTCTCTCTCTCTCTCAACATAAAATACTCTGTGTTACACCACCTCTAGCGACACCATCGCCAGAGGCAATTCCATGCCATCGTTGCCCTAGCAGCCAACCATCAACGTCATTGGACACCTCCAGCGACACACTAGGTATCTCCCCACCCTCTCTCTCTCTCACTTCTCCCTCTTTGTCTCTCCAAGAAAACACAACGCACACACGCACATCGACTCGGCACTCACCCTCACGAACCGCAATCAAATGACCCTCAAGATTCGAAAGAAATACCAATTCCAAGTCTCAATTCCCAGAAACAACAAATCACAGATTTTGAAGCTAAGGTTGGTAGTATTTTGGATTTTAATACCCATAACGAGAAAACCCTAGATTTGAATACACAGAAAGAGAAAAGTTTGAATTTGGATTCACAAATTAGGAAAAATCAAGAGTACATGGATGTAGATGATGATAGCTCTGTTGTGGAGGTTGGGAAATCTTTTTCTATACATGGGTTTCTGAGGAAAGTGTTCACGTAGGAATTGGGTGATGATAGTGGTTGTGATCACAAACTATTGGTGATAGTTGTTCATGCTATCCTCTTAGAGTCTAGCTTCGTTGGGTTTGATCCTGTTTCCAATATCGAGGTTCATGGGTTTCAGTTTCCCAATGAATGGCCTTCCTCGGCATTTAGGATGTCATTAAGGTACACTCTTCTTGAAATGACAGTGTTAATGGCAGTGTTAATGAAATTGATACTGTTGTATTGAAGTTTCAGAGTTTAGGGAAGTTCTTTAATTTTTATGGGTCTTTAGCTAATGGGTCTGAAACGCATTGGGTGCGTTTGGATGAACACAGGTTGGTTCCCTTCTTGAGAATTGTTAATGTTTATTCTATCTACTAATTAATTGGTTTGGGTTTTCAAAACTTCTAATTTTGTATTTATTTTCTTTTAGGTTATGTGCGAATGGATACGACGGAGAAAGGAGATGGCATCATTGGTTCACAAACCAACTGGCCAGCAGGTTTTTGTTAAGATTAAGGGAAACCTTTAATGTTGGAATTATTTTCGGGTGTTTAGTGACTCTTTTTTTTGGTTAAATTGAAGGGTCAGAATTTTTTATCAATGAAGTAGTCGGCATAGCAGAGAATTTAAAGGAATTATGCTCGCAACTATGAGCAGTTCCATGTGATTGCTAATCCTCTAGTTTTCGGAAGCAACAGTGGAGATACACTTTTTAACATATATCTAGCATGACATATCTGCAACCACATCTCTTTGGTTCTTGTAGAGTAATTTCTATGTTTTCGATGCAATCGAAGGAGATTCATAATGGTGTTGCTTCCAAACTTTCCTCCTATAAGATTCATGATGCTGGGAACTGTTTAGCTGGGAATTTTGTCAAAAATTTTTTTGGAGTAGGAGGAAAGTTTGGAAGCAACACCATTATGAATCTCCTTCAATTGCATTAAAAACATAGAAATTACTCTACAAGAACCAAAGAGATGTGCTTGCAGATATGTCATGCTAGATATATGTTAAAAAGTGTATCTCCATTGCTGCTTCTGAAAGCTAGCGGATCAGCAATCACATGGAATTGCTCATAGTTGCGAACATAATTCCTTTAAATTCTTTGCTATGCCGACTACTTCGTTGATAAAAAATTCTCACCCTTCAATTTAACCAAATCAGGAGTCACTAAACACCCGAAAATAATTTCAACATTAAAGGTTTCCCTTAATCTTAACAAAAACCTGTTGGCCAGTTGGTTTGTGAACCAATGATGCCATCTCCTTTCTCCGTCGTATCCATTCGCACATAACCTAAAAGAAAATAAATACAAAATTAGAAGTTTTGAAAACCCAAACCAATTAATTAGTAGATAGAATAAACATTAACAATTCTCAAGAAGGGAACCAACCTGTGTTCATCCAAACGCACCCAATGCGTTTCAGACCCATTAGCTAAAGACCCATAAACATTAATGAACTTCCCTAAACTCTGAAACTTCAATACAACAGTATCAATTTCATTAACACTGCCATTAACACTGTCATTTCAAGAAGAGTGTACCTTAATGACATCCTAAATGCCGAGGAAGGCCATTCATTGGGAAACTGAAACCCATGAACCTCGATATTGGAAACAGGATCAAACCCAACGAAGCTAGACTCTAAGAGGATAGCATGAACAACCATCACCAATAGTTTGTGATCACAACCACTATCATCACCCAATTCCTACGTGAACACTTTCCTCAGAAACCCACGTATAGAAAAAGATTTCCCAACCTCCACAACAGAGCTATCATCATCTACATCCATGTACTCTTGATTTTTCCTAATTTGTGAATCCAAATTCAAACTTTTCTCTTTCTGTGTATTCAAATCTAGGGTTTTCTCGTTATGGGTATTAAAATCCAAAATACTACCAACCTTAGCTTCAAAATCTGTGATTTGTTGTTTCTGGGAATTGAGACTTGGAATTGGTATTTCTTTCGAATCTTGAGGGTCATTTGATTGCGGTTCGTGAGGGTGAGTGCCGAGTCGATGTGCGTGTGTGCGTTGTGTTTTCTTGGAGAGACAAAGAGGGAGAGAGTGAGAGAGAGAGAGGGTGGGGAGATACCTAGTGTGTCGCTGGAGGTGTCCTATGGCATTGATGGCTGGCTGCTTGGGCATCGATGGCATGGCATTGCCGGTGGCGATTGTGTCGTTGGAGGTGGTGTAACACAGAGTATTTTGTGTTGAGAGAGAGAGAGAAAGGGAGGGCGTGCTAAGGAAGGCAGAGGAAAAGAAGGAAAAGGGAGGCGTGGTGCTCAAGAAGGGAACCAAATTGTGTTCATCCAAATGCACCCAATGCATTCCAAACCCATTATCTAAAGACCCATAAACATTAAAGAACTTCCTTAAACTCTGAAACTTCAATACAACTGTATCAATTCCATTAACACTGCTATTAACACTGTCATCTCAGGAAGAGTGTACCTCAACGACATCCTAAACGTTGAGGAAGGCCATTCATTGGGAAACTGAAACCCATGAACCTCGATATTGGAAACAGGATCAAACCCAACAAAGCTAGACTCTAAGAGGACAACATGAACAACTATCACCAATAGTTTGTGATCACGACCACCATCATCACCCAATTCCTGCGTGAACACTTTCCTGAGAAACCCAGGTACAGACAAAGACTTCGCAACCTCCACAGCAGACCCATCATCATCTACATCCACGTACTCTTGATTTTTCCCAATTTGTGTATCCAAATCCAAACTTTCCTCTTTTTGTGTATTGAAATCTAGGGTTTTCTTGTTATGGGTATTAAAATCTAAAAAATTGCCAACCTTAGCTTCAGAATCTATGATTTGTTGTTTCTGGGAATTGAGACTTGGAATTGGTATTTCTTTCGAATCTTGAGGGTCGTTTGATGAGGATCATTTGATCGGGGTTCGTGAGGGTGAGTGCCAAGTCGATGTGCATGTGTGCGCTGTGTTTTCCTGGAGAGACAAAGACGGAGAGAGTGAGAGAGAGAGAGAGGGCAGATACCTAGTGCGTCGCTAGAGGTGTCCTATGGCGTTGATGGCTGGCTGTTGGGGCGTCGATGGCATGGCGGTACCGTTGGCGGTGGTGTAACACAGAGTATACTGTGTTGAGAGAGAGAGAGAGGAAGGGAGGGCGTGATAAGGAAGGCAGAAGAAAAGATGGAAAATGAGGCGTGCCGCTAATAGGAGTGGTGCTTCTTCCATGTGTGTGTGTCAGGCACTGTGTAAGGGGCAGGGTAAAGTTAAAAGGGATGTGATAAGATATATATATATATATATATATATATATATATATATATATATATATATATATATATATATATACGTGTATGATTTAACAACACATATATATTTATATATATACATGTATATGTATATTTATATATATTTGTGTATAATTTAACAACAAATATATATGAAAGGGTGGTGAAAGAATGGTGTGTTTACTGCTGGTGTCATCGTGAATCCAAAGAGAGAAATGAAAGGGTCTACTATAATTATTACTGGTTCAATTGAATAAAAAATTTAATCTAATATAAAATATTTTAATAGACAACTCAAATTTAAAAAATGACAAATTCAAATTTTAAGTAGGGTGAAATATGACCATTACAATTTTAAAAGAAAGTGAAATTTGTCCATTAAAAGTTTTAATATCTTTTTGTTTGATATGAGTTTGGCTAAATGATTAAAGCTTATTTTTAGTCTGTTTTTACTTAAATTTAAATTTTATGTTAGAATTTGGGTAATAGTCGAAGATGTTTTTTACGAGCCGAGTTATATTTCTAAAAGTGAGGTAATAAATAATTATAATTTCAACTTTAAAATATCTAATTTGATTTTTAAAAATTATATTTTGTATATTAAATTATATAATTAATCATAATTTTTTGAATTATAATTAAATAAAATCTTGTAAAATTTTAAAGAATTAATTTGGATACATTCTCTCACTATCCCCCAGCAAGTCAATAGCAGAACTTTGGAAAGTCCGGAGTCAAAAGTGCAACAATTTCGTGGAAGCTTTCACTGCAAAACTTTCCTCTTGTTTTATTCATGTCCACCTGCATTGACTAATCTAGTTGGGTACTACCTATCCCTATTCTATGTACTTGTGCTTTCATACATTTTTTTCTTTTGAAAGCCGTCCAGTCATACAAATGTGAATAAATATCTCTCTCTCCGCCATTGCTTTTGATTTGAAAGCTTTCAAGAGGTTCAAGATGAAGAAGAAGCCTACTCAACTCATTTTCTGTCTCTTCTTTTTCTTTCTCTCTATGGAAGTGTTTTTCATAAAGGGTATTGCACATAATGGAACAATCGACTTCAATGTCGGTGTCATTCTTGACATGAATACTTGGGTTGGGCAGATGGGATTCAGTTGTATAACAATGGCCCTCTCGGACTTCTATGCTGCCAATACTCACTACAGGACTAGGCTGGTTCTAAATCTCAAGGACTCTAAGGAAGATGCTATTGGTGCAGCTGCGGCAGGTATTCTCTCTCTCTCTCTCTCTCTCTCAAAAAAGGTGGTTGTGATATGACACTAGTATTCAATGAATAGTGGAAGCATCCTACGCCTTGAACAGAAAATCTAAGGGGACAGCACTGGGGGATTTGTAGGGGAAACGATCCATGCATGTTCCGGTGGATGTGTTGTATTTCACTCTCAGTAGAAAATTGATTTGGAATTTATTCTTAAGGAAAGGTCGTTTGTGATTCTAACTCTAAAAGACCTATTGGGATGTCAATCGTGTCGAGTTAAATGATTGCGTGTTGAGTTAAATGGGTGACAAGTAAAAAATATATAAATCCGTACATGACACGTTTAATAAACGGGTGAACTCGTTTAACTTATTTAAATTTTTAAAAAATTATATAAACAAATTTTAATACTCTATTTTTTTTGCTGTCAGTTATACTTACTTCAAAAAAGAAAAAATTTCAGTCAAATCTCACATAAAAATCAGACTTGAAGGCTAAAAAAATGGCAAAATGGTACTGCCTTTTATAGGCAAGTCAGCCCTCACATCTTCTCTCATTTGCCGATGTGGAATAAAAACAAAAGGCATTAGTTTGCCTTTGTCTTTGAATTGCTCTCCACCTTCCCTCCTTTGTTTTTGAACTACTATTTTACTCTTTTTTTGTATTGATTTATTTACTTTTTTTTTCTGGCTAATTTTTTTAAATAATTATTAATTTATTATAATATTAATTTTATTTAAAAGGGTAAACGTGTGATAAACAGTTTGACAGGTCTCACTCGAACACGACCTGTTTATTAAACGTGTCTAGCAAGTCAACTCGTTTACTACCCAAACATGTTAACATCTCACTCAAACCCGCTTAATTCATGTCGATTTGTGTCGATTAATCGTGTCATGTCGAATTTTAACAGACCTAATTGTGTTGGGAAATTAAGTATTTTGAGTCTATTTTGATGAAAAATTACACCCAAATTCTCTTATAAGTTTGTTATTTAATCATTTAAACTATTAACATTTAAAATATTATATATAGACCCTTGAAGTTTGTACATACATAACATTTTGGGTCCGTTTGATTAGGAAGAAAAAAAATGATGAAAAATGAAAATGATAGAAAGTGAAGTGAAAGAAAAGAAAATGATAGAAAATATATTTTCATGCATGTATTTGTTTAGAATGAAAAATTTTCAAAAAAATTTTAAAAAAATTTCATTTTATTTGTTTGAAAGAAAGTAAAGTTATAAGAATTTTTTTATAATTGTCTAAATTATCATTAATTATATTAAATCAGTCTAAAAAAGA